TAAAGGGGTGACAGAACTAATTTCAACTCGGAACTTCAAAAGGGTAATTTGCAGTTCAAGCCCCATGCTCAGATTCTAATAAAAATTACCCAAATATTTCCATTTAGATGGAAATGTACATGCTTAATTTGAAAATAAAGAAATTGATAAAATGTACAGTTTTGGAGTTATCAACAATAAAAGTTTGGACTCATTCATGTTCTGACTGCAGCACAGCAGCCATTACTGGTGTTGTTTACCTATATTTGCCTCAGAGCAATCATTCACGGAAGCTTCACTTGAGTGCATACTACTTCCCATGAGTCAGTAACATTACACTACAATGCCATCACCGATATCTAAAGAATCAAATGAACAATTATCAATAATTTTACTTATTATAAAACGCAGATTGTGTGTGTGTGTGTGTGTGTGTATGTGTGTGTGTGTCTGTACATTTATATATTGGATCGGATTTCCTACATTTTTCAACCGATTTCAACAAAACTTCACAGGACTACGTAAAATTACCTTGTGGTGGTTCTGACAGTGCAAAATTGGAAAAAACAATTGTTTTTGCACAAAATCAATTTGAAAACACGATTAAAGTCATCAAGAATGAAAGGGGGACAACTCATATCGAGTTATACTTATTATAAAACCCAGGTTGTGTGTGTATGTGTGTTCATTTATATATGGGATTGGATTTCCTACATTTTTCAACCGATTTCAACAAAACTTCACTTTTTTTTGGCAGGTCATGTTTCTTATTGTCTTTCACACTTTTTTCTTTATTTTTACATTCAGAATGCTTTAAAAATTCCATTTACAAGACAATTGTTTATAATAAAATTCTATTCAATCGGTAGACACATAACAATTGAAAACAATGTTTTTGTTTGAGTTTGACCAATTCGTAAAAAAAAAAAAAAAAAAAACAACAAAAAGAAACTAATTAAGACATGTCATCCTTAAACAATAATCTTTGTCAATTTTATTTTTCAGTCTTTATGATGGTCGATACTTGATCTATCTCTTACTGTTACATCCCCGGGCAACGCTGGGCTCTACTGCTAGTTATGAATATGCACAAGCATGGCTTAAGATACTAGCAGTTAAAGCTAGAACCAAAAAGCTAAAGGATTCAAAATCAATCGGAGGAGAAAACCAAATAACGGACATCTTGTTGGTTACTGCTGGTTGTGAGGCCATCATAAAATTATCAACAATTGCACACCCAAGACAGTTGGAAGATTGAAAAGTCCGTCCGCTCTCAGGAGTAGACAAATTAGAGCCCCATTGACCATGTCCTATACTACCAATGAAAAACTATGGTATGAAAAGAAAGGTGACAGAACTAATTTCAACTCGGAACTTCAAAAGGGTAATTTGCAGTTCAAGCCCCATGCTCAGTTTCTAATAAAAAATTCCCAAATAGTTCCATTTAGGTGGAAATGTACATGCTTAATTTGAAAATAAAGAAATTTTGATGAAATCTACTGTTTTGGAGTTATCAACAATAAAATTTTGGACTTATTTGCATCGCGGTGGGAGAAGTTGAAATTAACAGGAAAATTTCATTACAAAGAAAAAGTGCTGAAATGCTGTGAAATATAAATCCTCCTATATAGTAGTAAATCTCACTTATTATAAAACGCAGATTGTGTGTGTGTATCTGTACGTTTATATATTGAATGGATTTACATTTTTCAACTGATTTTCGACAAAACTTCACAGGACTGCATAAAATTACCTCAAATTTTGGTTCTTGACAGCGCCAAAATTTAAAATAAAACAATTGTTTTTGCATGAAATCAATTTGAAAAACAGAAAACACAATTCTGTCGTCAGAATGAAATGGGGACAACTCATTATCGAGTTATACTTATTATAAAACCCTTTGTGTGTGTGTGTGTGTGTGTGTTTTCGTTTATATATGGGATCGGATTTCTACATTTTCAAACCGATTTCAAAAAAACATTTTTTTTTTTTTTTGGCAGGTAGTGTTTCTTATTGTCTTGCATTCTTTTTTTTCTTTATTTTTACATTCAGAATGCTTTAAAAATTCCATTTACAAGACAATTATTTATAATAAAATTCTATTCACTTGATAGTCTAATAACGATTGAAAACAATGTTTTTGTTTGAGTTTGACCAATTCGTAAAAAAACAACAACAAAAAAAAAAACTAATTAAGACATGCGTGTCAATCAACCTTAAACAATAATTTTTGTCAATTTTATTTTTCAGTCTTTATGATGGTCGATATTTGATCTATCTCTTACTGTAACACCAGGCTCTACTGCTAGTACTTGATAATTTCCTCATAGATGAAGAGGCAACAGAGATGCCAATCTACAGAAGGATACTGAGAATACCATGGACAGAATATGGAAGCAATGAGGAAGTTTTAAGGTAAATGAGAACAAAATAAAGACAATTTTACTTAGAATCAGAAAGAGACAATTGAAATTTCCGATTTCTAATGAGGAAAGATGACTTGGAGAATTTGACACTCACTGGACATACTCAAGGCAAGAGGGACTAGGAAGGAGTCAAACATCATTTACACAGGATAAAACGTTGTGGAGAGCCATAACTGTAAAGGACCATGGTGCATGAAAGAAGACGCTCTTCTAAGTAATATTCTAGAATATAAGACATTTGATTAATGAAAGTTTTACATGATAGAAAAAAAAAAAAAAAAAAAAAAAAAAAAAAAAAAAAGAAATTATTTCAAAGAAATACCTTTTGTTTTTTCCTTCCTCTCTTCCCTCAGAATATTTTACTTTTCTGTGATTAACCTAAGATTAAGAATTCTAACTATTGTCTTGAATACATTCACTTACACATGCATTAGCTATCTTCTATATAAATAAAGCACAGTGTACACGTGTCCATCCATCTGTTTTTCGATCCCGGCGAATCATAAACAACATGAATTAACAGGTAGAAACTACTGTAGTTACATGCAATTAAAGATTAAATAAATAACTCATTTAAAGTTAATTTTAAATATCAAATAGAAGTTAAAGGTTTAAAAAAAAACCCAAAAAACCTATTCTTTATTAAAGGTTTTACTTTAATTTCACTTTTCATCACAATTGCAATTGATATCATCTAATTAAGCCATAATTAAAAACTTTAATGGGGCATGGTACATTGCTCATATTTTTCTTTTTCTAGCACGCATACTGTGACGTATTCAAAATATTACAAAGTTCAGGTTCCCTAATATCATTTAAGGTGGACTTTATATAAATAGATGATAATGGTGATTTTAAAATAAAAATTGTGAGTAAGATAAATGTAAACAAACTATGGAGAATGGTTACATATATGAAGAAAGATTATGCCGAATTAAGGTGTCAAATAAAAATAAAATAATTTTATTATTTTTAAATTCTTATAACTTTTACATACATAGAACACTTAAGGCCAAAGGCCAAAGGCCCAAAAGCTCTCCATATAATCTTGCCTAAAGGGCAGTTTCTAGGATAGTATAATACTAAAACTCTTCTTGTACATATGTATAGATGTGTGTTCCCAAAATACAGCTTAAATGATACATAATATCTTAGCAGATTTAAATATACATAGCACAACATTTATACAATACACTACATCAGAACTTGTTTTTATAAACAAATATCTTGGATGTTTGGCAAATACGTGATAGGTTAAGATGCTATATGGGTGTGTCATTGTAAACCTTGATCTATATGGTTGGAAAACTGTGTCACAGAATTGATGCTAAATAAATAAATAGAAGAATGCTGGTTTGCTGCAGTTGCATATTTTGAAATATGTGTGAGGAAGAAACGACTATGTATAATAAAAAATATTATTTTGAAAAAAATGAAACTAAGTGCACAAAAAGGAGGTGTCCTTTCTTTGTTATTTCAATAAATATGAATCTCCCTAAGCAGGGGAATGTTTTCATTAAAGGGATGTTTCATTTTAAACTTAGATTATAGACAGAACAATAATAGGCCTCCTATCTCATTCTGGTATATAGTTAAATTTATTTTTAATTTATTAAGTCTGTTGTCTGATAATTTAATGCGAGTAAACACATATTGCACATAAACATTAAAATATGAACAATTAATAACAAAATTGACACTATCATTATTCTGTCAATTTGTATTATGAACTGCTTTTAAAAGGAACACAACAGGTTTATGGGTCATCTAGTAAATATATAAATGTACATATAAAACACAGATCATGATCACCTACAAAAGCACAGTCATGTAAGCTACTAGAGTTTCAGGTGTTTAAAGGTGCACAGATTTTCATAAAAGTACTCAATATAAAAAAAATTAAATAACAGACTAACAATAGTTGATGAAGGAAAGTTCAAAAGACTTATCTTTTTACTTACAAGTTTTGCAGATGTACTGGTAATATAGTACAACTTTTAAATTTTATTTGAAATCAATAATTAGCAGGTTCTTTTCTGTAGTTTATATAAATATTATATCTGTTAATGAATTCAATAGAGTTACCTGGCTCTGACAAGCAGTGTATCTGCCTAACTCAAAGTCAAAAAGATAAGTCTCTTGAACTTTTCTCCATCTCCCACAGCTATGGGTTAATTAGTAGGACTTGAATCACGAAATAATTATTATTTAAAAAAAAAAAAAAAATTATGACTATCCAAAAATATTTCTGGCTTTAAATAATCTGCAAAGGGTTGATAAGCCGTAGAAAATGAATCAATTTTCTTTTTCTTTATATATATATACAAAAAATATATATACATACATACATATATATATATATATATATATATATCTCTATACATATATATCATCCAATGACGTTTATAGGATAATATATATATATATATATATATATATATATATATAAAAAGAGGGATCAAAATGAAAAAAAACAAAATAAAATATTATTTTAACAATGAATAAGGAATCCTTAAAAATCCATTAGATGGCCATAATTTATTTGATGGGCCATTGCCCAATCGTTCAGACCAAAATGACATTGAGAAATGGAGTTTAATTCATCCAGACACAAGAATAAAGGAAAAAGGAAAGAAAAAGGAAAGAAAAAGGAAGAAAAATCAAAAAAGGAATAAAAAGAAGGAAAAAGAAAGAAAAAATTGATTTGAAAAGAAAAAAAAAGAAAAGGAAAAAAAAAAAAAAAAGGAAAAAAAAAGAAAAGAAAAGGAAGAAAAAGGAAAAAAAGAAAAAGGAAGGTGGAGGAAAAGTGAGATAGGAATGAGTTTTAATATTAAAAGGGAGAAAGAAAGATTTCAATACAAGGTTTATTGGGGGGAAGAGAAAAGCAGATAGGCATAGAGAGAGGAGAGAGTGAGATGGTCTACAAACTGACCCAGAATAGGTTTTATTTCCAGGACTTGACAAAAAAACAGGGTGGTGGAATGAGTGATCATGTTTAAAGAAATCATATTGAAAAAGTTCAATCAGTGAAATCTCCACATTGTATTTTAAACATTACAATTACGAATTGATAATAATAATAATATTATATATATATATATATATATATATATATATATATAAAAAGAGATTGAAGTTATGTTATAATTATGAACTGTCTCTTCTTGATGTTAAGTTTCATTTTGTTTCCATTTTCTCCAAAATCTCATTGTTGCTCATATGCTCAATCCATCGTATCCTCAGCTTCTTCCTCTAGAACTACATCACTGTTACTTTAAGCCTCTTCATCTTTCAGGAGATTGTCCAGCACTTGCTATACCATATATAGGAGGACAGGTATCAAGTAACAGTTCAGTACTCTTTTCTAACAAAATTTTCATTTCTCTTAATACTCTGCTTAGCTTTTGGAATTCATCTTTGATCATCCCAATATGTCTTCGGATCTCATTGTTGCACTTTGTCCTCTGTTAAACACACTGTATTGGATCTTCTGACATGAATGCAAAGCAGGACAGCATGCTGTTTCCAAATTTCTGGTAGAGTGAATTGCATCATGGTGCCCCTTTTTCTCATAGACGGTACCCAATATACTGTTCAGTTAAAAAAAAAAAAAAAAGGTGACAATTTACCCATTGCACCATATATATATGTGTGAAAATATATAGAAAATAGGAAGGAACTGGTTAGGTAAATAATCCAAAGTTCCTTAGTATTTTAGTTATTATTTATTAGTATTTTATAAAAAAAAAAATTTTGCTTGAAGATGGAACAGAGCTTTCTTTAACTCAATTTAATTCAAATAATTATATTGAAGTTTTCGGCTCTTGTTTTGAAACATGAGACCTCTTATGTCATAAGTCGGAATCATATTTTAAATAAATAATTATATAATTATATATATATATATATATATATATATATATATATATATATATATATATATATATATATATATATATATATATATAACACTTATAGATATTTAAATTCCTATACTGTCTTGATTTTAGTATCCCTTATTTGTAATTTGCATTCTGGGCTCTTCCTTTTGCTGACAACTATGCATTCATTCTTGCAGTTTATACTTAACATCAGAAAGAGGCAGGTAAAATTTCCTGGACACATAATGAGAAAAGTGGGCTTAAAGAACCTGATACTCACTGGACTGATTGAGAGACAGAGGAAAGTAGTGTGTAACATACTTGATGGGCTTGATTGAATGAATGATAGAATGACGGGGTTTGGGAGAAATAACAAAAAGACAAAACTCATTAAGAGCTACAAGGGACAGGAAGATGTGGAGAGCCATGATCGCCAAGATCCTGAAAGGACATGGCACATAAAAAGATATTTATGAATAAAAGTGCTCAATAGCAGAGCTAGAGCATATGTAAAATAATGAGTAGTTTAATGAAATTAGTCAAAATAAATATCTATATGATGATTTTTTGATATGGAGAAAGAGATTAAGGTAGACATACAAAGATGTAGACATACAAAGATGCAGACAGCCGTTCACAGAAGGCATTAATAAACATATCTATTACTATGACCAGATCTATTTTCGTACATCTGTACACAGTTACAATTTCTACACATATTTACAATTCAATATTTACACTCAATATCTACAATTCAATTTCAATATCTAGAATCTATATTGGCATATGGTGATATTACATTGAAACACTAGTTCTTGTCTGATCAACGATGTTAAGCAACATTGAACTTGGTGGGTGACCACTCAGAAATACCAGGTGCTCTAAGCCTGGAGATTCAGGGAATGTAATGGAGAACAGCTCAGAATTGGAAAGATGAATTCAAGTTTGTTACATTCACTTATATGCAATTAGCCTCTTCTCTCCCCTAGCTATGGATTAAATATCAGGACTTATCTGTAAAAAAAAAAAAAAAAAATCATTGCTATTTCTAAAATATTATTGATGCAAAATTCACCCACAAGATATTCTCACAATCCACACCCCACCAAAAAAGAATATTTTAGGTTTAAATAACCTATTAAAGGTTGGTAAACCATAAAAAAAGCAAAACAATTCAATCGATCAAAAATAATATGGACTTTGAGGCAGACATT